AACTGGAATTTATAAACTGGAATCATATCATTCATATACAGGTTCGGGGTTAGTGTATCCTATTGAAATTGTTTGCGAAGATGTATTCTCGCCATTTAAATCATTAACCTCTATATTTGTTTTTTGTATGAATGATTCATGTAATCATAAATTAAGCTACACGTATAATCGAAAAATATATATATATATATATATATATATATATATATATGAATTTTATTTCACTCCTTCATGAGCTTCCATGCCTTAGCTATGGTTAATTAATGACGACATCATAAAGGGTTATCTTTTTTTTCCTACCCTACAAAAAAGATAACCCTTTATGAAGTCGTCAAAAAACAAACGTTACGGCAGTTTTTTTTTTATATGCACAAATCCCTTTCATAAAAAAATAAAATAAAATAATAAATAAATCTCCATAGACACGCAAATCAGACTAGGGTTAATACTTCTTCCGTTTCAAATTTAGACACTCCCATCTTTCCCTGACTTGACATCTATGAAAGTAACTCTATATTGATACTTATTATTAACACCCAACACACGCCTACCCAATGTAAATAATTCGCACTAGCTGTTGCCATGGAAATTTTGATTTCAATTATTAAAACACGTAAATTTCAGAAATACGTTATTCCAAAAAAAATTTCGCTTGAAGATGGAACAGAGCTTACTTTAACTCAATGTAATTCAATTAATTATATTGAAGTTTTCGGCTCTTGTTTTGAAACATGAGACCTCTTATGTCGCGAGTTGGAATCATATTTTTAAATAAATAATTATATTTATGCTCTAATTTTGTATCGAGCACTATATTTTTTTTATAAATAATAATTAAAATACTAAGGAACTTTGGATTATTTACCTAACCAGTTCCTTCCTATTTTCTATATATTTTCACACACACACACAGACACACACACACACACACACACATATATATATATATATATATATATATATATATATATATATATATATATATATATATATATATATACGCATCTATTAAACAGACGTGGGAAAGGAAACGACAAGAAAAACTATTAATCACCGTAAAGTGGTAAATTGAAAAATATAACAAATAAAGGAAATAAAAAGGCAACCATGGTAATTTTTCTCGATCTTAACACTTTGAGCCCTACGTTCTTGAACAAATGTAACCCATCTGTCTGAGTTTCTGAGTCAACATTCGCAAATAATTTGTGTGTAATGTTTCACGGTAGATATAAAAAATAGTTACAAGTTCTTTTACCCACTGTGCAACCGGTGGCTGGGCATGAAGTCATTTTTCTCTACTACTGTTCAACTGATGGGTGCCCAGTACGTCATTTTTCTCTACCACCGGTACGGTGGGTGTCAGCACTCAAACGGTAAAGAGCTCATTTGAGATGAAACATAAACATAAACGTAAAACTAAATAGTAGTAAGGGCAAAATAAATACTAGCACAGAATTACCAATATAAATCACAAAATGATTACATTAAAATGGATCAACCATTCCTTGTTCTTAGACTTCACATCCAGACTCTGAAGCATTTTCAGATGGTACACCGAGTGTTTTCCAGATGAATACTGTAAAAAAGAAAGTTTAAAAATAGCGCAGAAATAGGGCAATAAGAAAATCTATTTACACTTGTCAATAACCCCGGTTCTGCATTTGCGGAACACTAATAAATAATGTCGGAAATTGTTATGGTCCGGTTCCTTGTACCACGGTGATAGTCCAAGGTAGAACCAATAAAGAAGAACTCGAATACGGATAAGGAATAACACAGATATATTACAAACAGGAATATATACAGAGAAGTAGAAAGTGTTAGTACGAACAATCAGGTTTAGTAGTAATTGTCTGAACACGATTCTGTTTCGGACTGCCTCTGACTCGACTGACTGACTCCTGACGGACCTCACTTCAGACTTCAGACTGAACCCTAGACTTCAGACGGAACTCCCTGCTTCCTCTTGAGGCGCAGTATTTATTACGTATGGAATAGTCCATTATGTTATTATGGGTAAGCTCCCGTAACAGAAATAATACTGAGCAATATGCAGAAACCTTGCTCGCACATGATTTCCAAACACATTAAGTTATTGGCAAGAGAATTCATGATTATTACAACAGCAGGATGATAATAATGATCAAATAAAGAGAACGGACGATTAAATCTGATGACAGCAGACTCGGTTATTAAAGATGGAGAAGAAAATGAAGTATTTAAAAATAATAACATCCCGTACATGTCGTACGTGACTAGAACAGTGCAGGAGATTTGTAATTATTGTAAAATAAAATCCAATTTTTGAAAGATAAAAATATCTTTGAAGTTTATTTTAATACTTTGCTGAAATTCGACTGAGGCAGGCGATATAACAATAATAATATTGATGCTTACAATAACAGTACAAGTAGAAAGATAATATGTTATATTTAAGGAAAAACTTTATGAAAAATGCACAAAACTGAAAGAGCTAAATTGTGATAGGAAAATGAATATTCTGAAAATTGGACCTAGAAGAAAGAAGGAATGAAGACATGAAAGATATTAGAAAGCGTCGAAGAAAAGGTCGTGAAAAAGGGGAAAGACGAAAGAAAAAAGAACTAGTGGACTAAATTAAAAAATGATGGGATAGGGAATTATTATAAGAAAGAAAGAAAGAAAGAAAGAAAGAAAGAAAGAAAGAAAAAAGAAAGGCCAAATCAAACAAAGGTGTAGTAGAAGATTATAATAAAATAGAAAGAAAGAAAAGAAAAGAAAAGAAAAGAAAAGAAAGAAAGAAAGAAAGAAAGAGAGAAAGAAAGAGAGAAAGTACTAGCGGATCAGCGAAAAGCAAAGGGAAAATCAGGACAAACACGCAAAGAGGAAGTATGATACAGAATTGCAATAAATAAAGAAAGAAAGAAAGAAAAAAGAGAGAAAGAAAGAAAAAGAGAGAAAGAAAGAAAGAAAGAAAGAAAGGAAGAAAGAAAGAAAGGATAAGTATCAAATTAAATTAAACAAAATAAAAATGAAATTATGAAAATAAACTAAACAGGTATCTGTAAAACTAAAGACAAACGGAGACGAACTTTGGGTATGAAAATAAAAGCAGTGACCACAAAAAATAAAATAAAAAATGATGGAAAATATAAGAATCCCAACGAAGAAAATAAAAGACAAATATAAAAAGAAAGAAAGAAGGAAAGGAAGAAAAAGTGAAATATAAAAAATATAGAAAGGATCAGAAAATGGGTGAGAGAAAAAGTAATAAAAATAAAGAAAAAGTTAGAAATAGAGAATGAATGAATGAATGAAGCTAATCTATAAAATAGAATGAAATAGAGAATGTGAATTCGATTGGAAAAAAAGAAAGAAGGGAATTAATGATAAATGAGAATGATAAAATTAGATATGAATAAGAGAGAAAAATGCTGGAAAGAAAATAAATGAAGAAAAGGAAGACTGAGGCATGGTAGAGATAAGAAAGAACATGTGTCTAAAATTATGATGGGGAATAAAATAAAGAAAGGAAACAAGAAAGAAAAAAATGAAAGAAATTATCAATGAAGCAAAGAAAGAAGTAAACAAATGGAAAGATAAGAAAAATAAAGAAGGAACGAAAGAACGAAAAACGGTAAGATAAATAAGGAAAGAAAGAAGGAAGGAAGGAAAGATACGACACATAAGGAAGGAAAGAACGAAAGAAGAAAGAAAGATAAAACAAATAAGGAAAGAAAGAAGGAACGAAGGAATCAAAGTTAGGACAAATATGGAAGGAAAGAAAGAAGGAAGAAATGATGAGATAAATAAGGAAGGAAAGAAGGAAAGAAAGAAGGAATGGTAAGACAAATGAGGAAGGAAAGAAAGATGGAAGGAAACATAAGACAAATAAGGAAAGAAAGAAAGAAAATTAAGACAAATAAAGAAGGAAAGAATGAACGAAGGAAAGATAAGACAAATAAGGAAGGAAACAAGAAAGGAAAAGTAAGATGAATAAGGAAGGAAAGAAGGAAGGACAGATACGGCACATGAGGAAAGAAAGAACGAAAACAGGAAGGAAAGGTAAAACAAATAAGGAAGGAAAGAAAGAAACGAAAAAGGAAATGTAGGGCAAAAAAGGAATGAAAGCAGGAAGGAAGGATATATAAGATAAATAAGGAAGGAAAGAAGGGACGAAGGAAAGGTAAGAAAAATAAAGAAAGAACGAAAGAAAGAAAGGTAAGATAAATAAAAAGGAAAGAAGGAAGGAAAGAAAGATACGACACATAAGGAAGGAAAGAACAAAAGAAGGAAAGAAAGGTAAAACTAATATGGAAGGAATAAAGGAACAAAGGAAAAGTAGGACAAATAAGGAAGGAAAGAAGGAAAGCAGGAAGGAATGTTAAAACAAATGAGGATGGAAAGAAAGAAGGAATAAAACATGAGATAAATAAAGAAAGAAAGAAGGAAGAAAAGAAAGATACAATAAATAAGGAAGGAAAGAAGGAAGGAAAGACAGGTAAGACAAATAAGGAAACATGGACGGAAGAAAAGATAAGATAAAGAAGGAAGGAAAGAAGGAAGGAACGAAAGGAAAGACAAATATGAAAAAAAGGAAAAGGAAACTGCTTCATATAAAAGTATATAATTTAAAAAATATGAAATAAAATTTAGATTCAGATAAAAAAAATATATGGAAGAAAGGTGACGGACGAGGAAAGTGATAATGGACACTGTGTGTGTGTGTGTTTTTTTTCCTTCCAGTGAATCGGACACTTAAAAAAAATTATTCGGTTATTTCTGGATTTCATCAATTCAATCAGTCCTTTTGTCGAATTCAACTTGCACTGAACGACCAGCGCGATGAAATAAATCGGTGTCGAGTAATGGAGAGGAACCAGAAATGAGGTATTCTTCCTCCATGTGCATATATCAGGGAAAGAGAGAGAGAGAGGGAGAAAGAAAGAGAAAGAAAACGAGAGAAGCAAAAAGACAGAGAATGAGAATGAGTACACAAGAAAGAAAGCGAGAGAGTACATGGGAAAGGAAGAGAAAAGAAGAGAGAAAGATAAAAACACAGAGAATGTTTCTTTTTGTGTGTGTGTGTGTTGTGTGTGTGTGTGTGTGTGTGTTTGTGTGTGTGTGTGTGTCAGAATATGCTACTCAAATATTGTCATATTAAAGCTTTCAAAAGCGTTCTTAAATAATTTTAGGAAAATACGACGGTTCCTTTATTTGTGGACTGATTTTGAAAGATGGCCAAGATGTCCATCAAGACAACAAACATAAAGACTGGTAAGACTAGAAGTTCGTTCATTGTCAAGGAATAATTTGGTAGCGGACATTATATATATATATATATATATATATATATATATATATATATATATATATATATAAGATTTTTATTATAATAGGTTGTAATAAAAAAAAAAAAAAGTTTTCATGTTTCAATACTATGACTGTACTTCCTCAGGCGATGATAGATGACTGGTGATAAGAAAGATTTATTATGGAAATTTAAAAACTAATCGTTGCCTCTTTTCGGAAGATAAAGGTGGAGGTCTTATGGTAAGAATTAAAAATATACTTCTGGGTTTGATTAGATTAACCAACAAAGAGTCAGATCTACGCTAAAATAGAAAAGAAAGGTCAGAGCTTGGAGGTGGGTGGGTTATTTTTATGTAAAGATAAACTGACGCTTGGACATGCCATCGGACGATCGCAGGAAACGAGGCAGCGACAAATGTATTATGATGTATCCAAGTATGATGTCCCAATTTGTTGAATTAGACATAAAGTTATCAGACACAAATTAAAAATAAATATATATTCAGGAAGCTTCATAAATGAGCCAATAGGTAAAATTAAAAATGTAGAACATCTATATTCGATGCTAGTTATATTGAAAGGACGGTAAAACATGGCAGTATTAAAGTTGAATAAATAATATAAATATTGGGTGGACTATTATATACGAATAAAATAATGGCTATACTACTGTAATACGTAATTATTTATAAAAATAATTTAACTATATTTTAAGGTAAATGACAGACGTGCCGACATAACACCTTGAATTCATTTCTTTGGTTTAACAGATCTTTTTTGTTAGCAATATGCAATTTGTGTAAACACAGTGAACATAGATCGTAAAGTTTTACAAGTTCTATTTTTTTTTTAAATATTTTCCATTTTAACGTAGGAGTTTTGCTAACTTCTTTTAAGTACCAAAAATATGTGACGTCACCCCCGGGCTGTCTGCCCCCGTGTTATCCTGAGACGACCAATGTGACTTGGTATTGGTCGCGGCACCAAATGTGAAGTTCTAACCATTGGCCGATTCGGATGGGAATCTGGTTAGATTCGGTATCAGCTTTGTCGTTCCCAGCTCGCCTCCAACGTCTGGTTACCGAAGTAACTGCTTTGATTTCTAGTCTAACCTACCCACGTTGTGATTTGATCTTAGGTAGACGAAATCAATCAGTCGCCGGACCGCAATGCAAGCCGAGTCCGAACAAAGGTAACACCGCACAAGTATATGTAAAAGAAAATAAAGTAACAACTCGAAAAGTTCAAATGTGTTAAAAAAATAACAAATATTTTTATATCTGGTTGCTGAATACAGGACTGCATCTTTCTCCCAAACCGCTTCTATGGATTCGTGACACTTTGCGCTTGTTAGGCGAGTCTTAACATCTTAAGTTGTTTTTTCAAGAAATTGTTTGTTTTTTTGGGGGGTTTTTTTGTATCTTCAGGTGATATTGGTAAAACTTGTTTTGGTGGTGTGAGTCTAAGTCGTTCTTCAAAAATAAATTGTTCTTGGTTAGAAGTCGAAGTCGGGATGCGTGGATCTTCAGTCAGCTTCCTGCGGGGCTGATCTCAGAGCTCACAGCTCAACTCTGTCTGCGTCTGCGTCTCTCCAACTCCAACTCTCCAACTACTTCCTGTCTACTCGCTGCGACTCTGTTTATATGGACGCCGACCAAAACCATGTGTGGGCTTGTCGGGGTTTGAGTTCCTCGAAAATTCTAAATCCACAATAAGGATTTTCTTTGTCTTCGGACAGGAAAATTTATTACTTTCCATTTTTGGAAGTCCATTACTTTCTGCTTTAAGGGAATCGTCCTCCCAAATTCTTCCTTTCTCATATTGGTATCTCACACCAATCCCCTCAGAGGGCGTCAACGGGTTTCCCCCTCTTTCTCACAGTGGTATCTCACACCAATCTCCTCAGAGGCGTCAACAGGCCTCCCCTCCTTGTCATATGTTTACCTTTGCCTACCGCTCACGCCACCACTCAGCCAATGACGCTCGGCAGCGCGGGTGCCTACAATTATCGCTCAAAGGAAAAAAAATATCTTCTTTTTTTCTTTTCTTTCTCTTCCCGACACCAGACCTCTACGACTCGTAGTGTGGTCCTTAATCTCTATCTTAACCGAATGTCACCTGGGATTTATCAACGAGATTTTCGCCGACGTCAAGTGGGTGGTTAACTGGATGTCTCCGCACTCTGTCGCTAATTATCTCACCCGGTAACAAACTCTTATCATGGCCAGGTCTAACATAAAACAGGTGTTTTTCCCCAAAACAAATGATATCTCCGAAGGATAGTTAATGGTTTATTCTTTTCCCTTCTCTTGGGTGGCCCAACTGATGCTTTTCTCGGTCTGTACTTGACCTGATTAACATTATCTCTCAGCTTCTGTTTCGTAGGCCACTTGACCAATTTGAAATTTTCATTATTGCCATGGTCAGATTGCTATCTTTTATTCGCCGCCTCGTAGCATAAATTAATTCGACAGATCCGAGATCTTACGAATTTCCTATCTTCTGCAAAATATACTTTTCTTCGCAAATGAAAATAAAATCTTTACCACTTTTCTTTGTTTAAAAAAATAACATCGCTCAGTATGTCTTTTCGTGATAGCTTCTTATCGCCTTAATTATTTCAGCTTCTTTGCGCCTTAATTATTTCTCGCATTTAATTTTCACACTATCGCAAAATAGTTTCACAAATATTTAAAAAGGGACGTTCTAAAACGGTTACTCATTATTGCTGAAAAATAATACGTGTTAATACCAACTAGTTTTAAAGGAACTTTTGGTACTGCCGATATACAATTTTTGCTACGAAATATGGATTTTTCATTTTCAGAGGACATAAGATAACGATTGATATTGCATTTAAATTTTTGAAGATCATACTTGACTGGGAACCAAAGAGCCGTAAGAGAGTTCTACAAGAGGGAAGTGTGATAGAAATTGTTACCATAGAACGGAAGGTTGCATCTTGCCATTTTCACAGTAAAATGATGAGATCTTGCTGCCAATCTTGTAAAGCTCTTAAATTTATAGAGTCAACGTACCATAGAAGGGGATTGATAAGAACATTTACCATGAAGTATTGAAAGAAAAGTCATAGAGAAAAGAAACTGAAATCGCGATATGAGATCAAGAAGTTGTAGGACTTTCTTTGCAGTTTATCAAAGATCCCTTAATATATAGCGGAAGCACCAGAACAGATGTAGCAGCAATATGCAAAGGAAGGGTATACTTAAATTCGTGATGGTGCTGGTGATTTTTTCAAATACGTGGACGCTATTTTTATAATTGATTTGATATTTAAAATTTATCCATTAAAAATTCAAACAATTTTTTAAAAAAAATCCTCAACACAAGCAGTCTCTCTTTTTAATTCATTACTGTGGATAATTATGAAAGAGATCGAGAATAATTGGGTAAGAAAAAACTACGGCATTTTCCTTCACGAACTTCAAGAAACTGTTCAGAGAACTGTAAAGGCTCAGTATAAAATAAGTAGACATATATATGTCTATACTATTCCATGAAACATGTGTGAATGAAGGTACGCTGCATATATATATATATATATATATATATATATATATATATATATATATATATATATATATATATATATATGCTATCGAAATAATTCGATTGAACTCACACAGAGAAAGGTGTGATTTTATAAAGTGTCTCCTGCTGTTAATGCAATGCTCTTCGACTAGAATCGAGCTCTCCTAGCTACTGGCGTCTTTCGCATAGTAAGAAAATTTCCTTTCCGCTCTGCTGTCCGACGATATCTAGTGGGTAGAATTGACTGATGCCAAATAGGTGGGGTTTCTATCCCGGCTTTATGATGCAGCAAAACAGTATATATATATATATATATATATATATATATATATATATATATATATATATATATATATATTCCTGTTGTCTAACGATCGCGGGTGCGTGAGATCCAAGTAGCGGTTCAATTATTTCTCCCATTCGATGTGCATCGGTGTGAAGAGTTTTTGCTCTATTTTGATAACCTGGGCAGGGCGTCCAGTCAGTTACTCTTCAGATCGGTGACTGCCTTTTCAAATTTTTTTATCTACGATTGTTAGCATTTTTTTTGAGTTTTCCTTCCTCACACACACTCACAAACACATAAACACACGCACATATATATATATATATATATATATATATATATATATATATATATATATATATATAAAACATTAGGCAGCATATGATTTACATAAAATGAATAATCACACATAGAATTAATCAGAAGTATCAATGCTATTATTGGCGACATCCATCGCTAGAAAACATAATATATGCATTAAAATCCTGTTCATCCATAGTGCGAGTTTTGATCCTTGAAGAAAAACTTGTTGTCTGTAGTTTTTCAGTTTATTTGATGTTAAAATGCTAGTACTTACGGACAGTGTTCCATCCATCATCAGGCATGTTTTTTTTTTCCTTATAAAGTCAAAAACTTGAGACGATATACCTGTATGTCGACCGAAAGATGTTTTTTGAATATCTGCTATTATTGACAGTTGTAAAATATCGGAACGTGCAAAGACGCAACGCTAAGTTTTTCAAAATTTTTTAAGTGAGAATTTTATTTAGATATTTCTTGTGATGTGTTAAATCCACGTATTCTATTTTTACAAGTGTATTCAGTTTTTATGTCATGAACTAAGTATATAGTTCAATAATATAGTGTAAT